TTTTGGTCGGAACAAGATGGAGGAAATTCTCGAGGATCAGCTGGCATTAGCGGAAATTCTCAGCAACTTCAGAACGGTGATGCTGAAAGCACCAAGAGAGAAAAGAACTACAAGTTGGTTCAAAACGCAATTAGAACAACTCGAGAGTCTATGGAGTGATTTCCTTCAAGCCCACAAGAAGCTGATCCGCTGGTCAAAAAAGGACAAGGAGCAGCGTCCCTATTTCCAAGATGACATGTTTGCTGCGGGCCAGAACCAGTATATCGCGGTAAAAACGGAAATTTTGGATGTTCTGAGCCCCGGCCGGAGACAGACCTCAATTCAAGCGGATTCACAGTATGCTGGAGTCAGCTTTGAGACTCCGCAATACAAGACACCACTACCGTCGATGCAGCTTCCGCAGTTTTCGGGCAATCAGTTGGAATGGGAGACTTTCAAGGGAATGTTTCTGGCACTCGTACACGACGTACCTACGTTCCCGCCGATTTTAAAATTACAATATTTGATTCGATCATTGACGGGAGAAGCAGCTAATAGGCTCAAGAACGTACAGATTGTCGGAGAAAATTATGAGAGTTCATGGCAGGCCATTCAAGCCAGGTACGACAATAAAAAAGTTTTGCTATCTACGCACATGTCGCATATCGTCAACTGCCCACCCATGCAAAGAAAATCAGTAGAAGAGGTGCGTAGACTGGTGGATCTAGTGCGCGAGTCCAAGCAGGCGCTCGATAACTTGAATGTAGAGCCGGCTCGTATGTCGGAATTGTGGCTGATTCACCACACCATTCATAAATTGGATCAATCAACGCGTCTGGATTGGGAACGACACGCCGACGAACTCACGAGCTTCCCGTCCTACGATGAGCTCATAAGCTTCCTCGAGCGTTACATACGAGTGCTGGACGCAGCTAGCACAACATCGGCAGGGCCGCAGCCATCTACATCGACTGAAAATTCGGCGGTTAAATCGGCAAAAAGCGCGCCAAGTAAATATAAACAAGTATCAGCCCATGCGACCAGTACGCAAGTAGCTCGAAAGCCAACCGCTCGCACATGCGCGCTATGTCGAGGCACGCACGCATTGTACTCGTGCCAGAAGTTCCTCTCTCTGCCTCAGTCGCAGAGGTATGAGGTGTGCAGGAGGGAGAAATTGTGTTTGAACTGCCTTTCGGGATCCCACTTCGCGCGAGACTGCCAATCAGAGAAGCGATGTTTAGTGTGTCAAGCAAAACATCACACCAAGCTTCATGCAGATACTCGGACACAGCAGGAATCTACTGATACATCAAATGAGCGAGCTGGCACTGGAGCTCCGATCGACGGAAATGAGGACCCACCAGCATCGGTTTACTTCGCGGGACAGGACATGCAATGAAAGCATTGTGCGTTAAAATGGATAAAGTATCTGTGAATATCAAGGTAATGGGCGGGTCTCACGCGTCAACAGCACGGAAAGAAGCATAAAGTCCAAGATGATGCCCGAGTTTACTACATCCGTAGTTGCCTTGGTTATGAGCGAGCTTACTGGATTGATGCCGAGGATTCAGCTGCAGAACACTCGATGGTCACACCTGAAAGGAGTGCAGTTGGCGGACCCGGCTTTTCACAGACCCGATCGCGTGGACTGTGTGATTGGGGCTGACATGTACACGAGCATCTTACTCGACGGATTGAAGAAGGGACCCGAGGGCACTCCGGTAGCGCAGCGAACGGTTTTTGGCTGGATATTGACGGGTGAGGGCGGTGATGAATCGACGAGCCGGCCCCAGGAGGTGACAGTTTTCCACACCATTGCTGAGCCAACGCTGAATCAACTGCTGGAAAAATTTTGGCAAATCGAGGATATAGCCCAAACAAAGCATTGGACGACGAAGAAACAGTTTTGTGAAGACTACTTCGTCAAGACTACGTCAAGAAACTCGGAGGGCAGGTTCGTAGTCCGGTTGCCGTTTGCGGCCAAGACTAGATTTGAAGGCTCGAGAGATATAGCCCTGTCGTGTCTCTTTCGAATGGAGAGACGAATTATGAAAGTCCCCGACTATCCTTGTCTTATAATAATTTTATGAGAGAGTATTTGCAGTTGAAACACATGGAGCTCGTGCCGCCGACTCAGATCTCGGCTCCGAGCTTTTATCTGCCGCACCATGGAGTGTTTAAATCGGAGAATTCGGACAAGATCAGAGTCGTTTTCAATGCTTCGCAGAAGGCTGCGAACCGAGTATCGCTCAACGAGACTTTGTTGACCGGCCCAAAACTGCAAAAGGACGTCACGTCAGTGATTTCCCGGTGGCGTCTCTTCAGATTTGTCTTCGTCACGGACATCGTCAAGATGTTTCGACAAATATTGGTGCACCCAGACGATACCGATTACTAGCGCATACTTTGGCGCTCAACAAAAACACAGCCGGTACAGGATTATAGAGCGCTTACAGTAACATACGGCACCGCCCCGGCTCCGTTTTTGGCTCTCAGAGTCCTTCAGCAACTTGCAGCGGATGAGCGTGAACGATACCCAGAGGGAGCTCGTTTATTGGATCACCGGGTGTACGTCGATGACTTGTTCGGTGGAGGAGATGCGATTGATGAAACAATCGATCGCCGAAATCAACTTATAAAAATGATGATGACCGCTGGTATGGAGCTTGGCAAGTGGTCGGCCAACGAGGCTGTGCTGCTGCGTGATATTGCTGCAGACAATGGCGAAAAAGTTTCTGCCGAATTGGAGGACGTGGTGTCGACGCTGGGCCTGAAGTGGTGCCCACGGAGCGACGAATTTTTGTTTGTATCCTCGCTAGCTCCGATGCCACAAGTGATCACCAAGAGGAACATACTCTCCGACGTGGCAAAGCTTTTTGACCCATTAGGATGGCTGGCTCCGGTGATAATCACAGCAAAAATATTACTTCAGGATCTCTGGATTGAAAAACTTGATTGGGACACCCCTCTCGAGGGTGAGATTTCCCTCAGGTGGCAGCGATTTCGTGAGTCGCTGAAGGATGTTTCGAAGATTAGAATTCCACGATGGTTCGGCGGGCCTGAAGTTGGTACTTGGACACTGCATGGTTTCTCGGATGCCTCAAAGCGAGCCTACGCTGCGGCGGTCTATATGGTGATCCCAGGAAAAAAGGCGACATTAATTATGGCAAAAACAAAGGTCGCTCCAGTAAAGCTGGAGACTCTGCCTCGGTTGGAGCTGTGTGGGGCTGCCCTTTTGGTCAAGTTGACTAAACAGGTCTTGGAAAACATGGATACGCAACCGGAACAGATTCATTTTTGGTGCGATTCTAAAGTTGTACTGGATTGGCTGAACAGTCACCCATCGCGTTGGCAAACATTCGTAGCGAACAGAGTCAGCGAGATAAATTCAGCTTTCCCAGAGGCAGTTTGGCATCATGTCGTGTCGGAGGATAATGCGGCAGATTGTGCTACTGGGGGACTCACGCCTGCTCAGGCGTCTACATTTGAGTTGTGGTGGACGGGACCGGCTTGGCCTGGCTCGGCGAGCTCCAATTGGCCTGCTTCAACAGATCAAGCTTTGAAGAAGAAGGAAGTAGACGCATATGTGGCTCAAGAAATAAGAGAGAAGGTAATCAAGAAGGAAGACACCATGCTTGCAAGATTGACGAAGTATTCAAGTTTTCTAAAATTGACCCGCGTTTTGGGGTACTGCGGTCGCTGGCTCAGCAGGACTAGAGCGCGACGAAGCAATTCTGCGTCACAGATGAGACCGTTTCTCACTCTCTCGGAGCTCAGGTGGGCTAAGATCGCCTGCTACAAAGTTATACAACGAGAATATTACTCGACAGAGATAAGCCTCATGAAACAGGGAAAAGCGCTGCCAAAGAGAAGCAACTTGCGCAGCTTGACACCGTTCATCGACCGTGAGGGCATTATTCGTCTTGGTGGTAGACTTCAGAATTCGCCGCTCTCGTTCGGCGAGCGACACCCGGTAATTTTGCCGGGAAGCTGTGAGATTGTTCGGAAGTTGATCAGCGGTATTCATAAGTTGACTCTTCATGGGGGCGTGCAGTTGATGCTCTCGCAGTTGCACCGTGAGTACTGGATCACTGGCGCAAGGAGGATCGTCGTCGGACTATATCGCGACTGCGTGAAATGTGCACGATACCGAGCTCAAACAGGAAGGCAGCAGATGGCTCCACTGCCTGCAGAACGCCTCATTCCACAGCGGCCCTTTGCAAGCACTGGATTGGATTATGCCGGACCAGTGTCCGTGCTTTTCTCGCGTGGTCGCGGAGCGAAGAGTACAAAGGGCTACGTGGCGATTTTTGTATGTCTCGTTGTGAAGGCAGTACATATTGAAATTGTATCGGATCTTACCACGGATGCTTTCTTGGCAGCTTACGCGAGAATTGTAGCTCGCCGAGGAGTGTGCACGAGAATTTACTCGGACAATGCTACGACTTTTAAGAAGGCCTCGACTGAGCTTGCACGCATGTTCACGGAGGCTTCGGACTTCTATTCGACGGTCACGGAACGACTTGCGTCTCGGGGCACGGAGTGGACTTTCATACCCCCGCGAGCTCCGCACTTCGGTGGATTATGGGAGGCAGCTGTCAAAAGCTTTAAGTATCACTTCAAAAGGATTATTGGCGATACACCGATGACATTCGAAGAGTTATCTACACTGGCTGCCCAAATCGAAGCGTGTCTGAATTCTCGCCCTCTCTGCAGACAAAGCGATTGTCCCGATGACCTAGTGGCATTGACACCTGGGCACTTTTTGGTTGGCTCTGCGTATCTTATTCAATTGGAAAAATGTGAGGAAGATCAAAGAAGGAGCTTGAACGAACGTTGGAAATTGATTGTGCAGCTTCGTAATTCGTTTTGGGTGCGTTGGAGGAAGGAGGTTTTGAACCAGTTGCAGCAGCGTAACAAGTGGTACGACCAGCACGAAAATTTCAAGATTGGTGACATGGTATTGGTAAAGGATGAGCTTTCACCTCCCGCGCGGTGGCCGCTTGGATTGGTCACTGAGGTGCACCCTGGTAAAGATGGACTTGTGCGTCTAGTCACGATCAAGACCGCTTCGTCTCAGCTTACGCGACCGATCGTTAAGGCGAAAGATCGTTTACGATTAATATTAATTAAAAAGCACTGAAAATCTGTAGGATATACTATCCGGGCGTGAAAGGAACTGTAACTATTAAAAAAATTGAAAAAACCCTCAATCTATCCAGGCGTGAAAGGAACTGTAACTATTAAAAAAATTGAAAAAACCCTCAATTTTCGCCTAAAAATATTGCGATTTGGCCGAAAACGGTCAATGCGCATGCGCAGAGGCCTTATAAACCGAAAACAGAATATTTTGAATTTGGAAAATTGTGTTATTTCGCGATAACTTTGTCAATTCTTGTCCGATCTTAATGAAATTTTCACTGATTACGTATCAAAGCACTAGAAATATGTAGGATATACTATCCAGGCGTGAAAGGAACTGTAACTATTAAAAAAATTGAAAAAACCCTCAATTTCCGCCTAAAAATATTGCGATTTGGCCGAAAACTGTCAATCAATTTTTTTTTCGATTTTTTTTCATTTATAAATGAATGAATTTTTTTTTTTACGGTAGAATCGAAGCAGAGCAGTCAAACTTTCATTTAAGACCAAAAAATAGAAATTCACTGAATATTTTTAAAATTAACGACGAGTTTTTATTTTTTCGGCCTTTTGGCTAACGTAGAAATGTAGTGCAGCGGTTTTTTTTCTGAGTAATCAAAATAAAAATTCAAAATGATAATGATTAAATTAAATTTGAAATGATTACTTTTTCATAAGTAGGTGCATTTACAAGAAAATTCGAAAAAATTTTTTTTCGAAAATTAAAAAAAAAAAAAAATTTTTTCGCGTGATCAAAATAAAAATTATACGGGCTACATTCTTAAGACATTCGACAATAAATACAATTTAATTCAACACGATTCACCGTCCTGTTTTCTACATAATGCTCTGCACACGGTACACACATACACACACACATACATACAGACAAGTGTTGGGAATTCGATCTAGTTTACAAAAATGTAAACGAAATTGTCGCACGAGGTCTTGATCAAAAACTCATATTCGAACCCATCACATAGCTTCCTCTATGGAGGAAGCAATATATCAATACATCGAAAAAAAACATACTCACACACACACACACGCAAACATTTGTTGGTAATTCAATGTAGTTTCCAAATATGTAAACCAAATTGTCCGACGACTTCTGGTTCCAAATCTCATTTTCAAGCCTATCACATAAGTCCCTCTATGAGAAAGCAAAACGTAAAAAAATGCGTCTCACTTGATAACAAAAAAAAACTATTGATTTTATCGTCACAACTATCTGCACGTGCATCGCTGAGATTGTTCTTTTCGGGCTGTAACATGGGCAGATTGTTGTCTTATCCGATTTCTTGTGTTTTTTAAAGTTATTGTAGCATACGACACTGGGAGACAAAAACAAAAAAACAATCTTTTATAGTATAAGGCCAATTAATAAGTATGTGCAAAAAAGTTTCCTCGATCTCTGTCGATTTATTATTTTATAAAAACCTCTCCGAAATTTTTTTTCAATTCGGATGTGTAAGCTTTCTTTAAAGTTCACAAGTGGAAATAAGATATATTTCTTTTTTAAGAGGAAATTATTTTCTAATCTATCGGCAGCGGAATACTGATATTTGAACGTGCTCGTTAAATTATCCTTTACAATTTAACCAGAATTTCACATTTTTTTAGGAGCAGTTGAAAGTTTATACTTTATAGTACTTTTATCTCGTTATTCTTTAATATTCATAGGACTATTTTCGGAAAGAAACTGCGTAATAAAATTTTTTACACTTTCAACTCTTAACTTACCCTCTAATCAAACATGAAGAGACGTCAGCAACGTTTATATCTATGTAATTTAAAAAAATAAATGAATAATAAAAACTAAAATATCATAACTGCAGAAAAATCCACTTACAGAAGCGGAAAGAAATATTTTCGTGACATTTTTGAAAATTAATTGTACCTTCTGTGGCTACGAATGCAGCAAATAAAAAGCTTATACATGCAGTATCTGACACGTCCATTCTGCACCTATATAAAACAATAAATCTTTTTCATCACATATCTGTCATAACTAGCAACAAAAAGTAGCTAAATAAGCTTCTCAAGTGATTTGTTTTCTTCATTGCATAACGTCAAGTCAAAAATACATATATTTCAAATTTTTAACTTGTATTTACCGGTAAATTTATGAAAATTGTGTGAGTAGCTCTGCTGCGTCAAAACAATACGTAATATAAGAAAACGTCACTTTTGTCATCAAAAACTTTTTTGTTTCATACTATTGGAAAATCAATTAGTTGGAAATTTTCGTTAACTCTGCGAAAAATTTTGAAAGATATTCACATTCCTGTAAGACGTTTTGTGTGCGATACAAAACTTTGCTATTCACCGACTCAAGATTTAAAATGATTGTAAGATTTCAATTTTAATAACTTTTAAAAAACGACAAGTTCTGTTATATTTCTTTTTTTTATGATATATTGAGTGATATACGAATGATATATTTCTCAAAATGAAGAATTCCCTCTTTTCATAATCAAATTCTGAAACTCGTAAACAAAATGTGTCTAATTAGTGGGACAAAAATATGAGTGAAGCTATTATTGTAAATATGTAGGTCATCACTAGTGAATACTTTTGTTGAACATAAAATGAAATTATTACCTAAAATATTACCCCAACAATTTCTTTCAGAACGACAATTAAGAAAGTTTAATTTCCAAAAATATTTATGTGATGCCTTTAAGATTTTAATTAAAAAGTTTGAGGTAACCTTGAAAATAGAAGAAGAATTTAATCTTTCAGTGTATATCTACAGTAGCTGATGACATGACTATAATATTTTAACCTTCTCACGATTTTTTTTATTAAATGCTGTATAGAAAGTGATGATGTTAGTGTGGTATGAAAAAGATAGTTCAAGGAGTTTTGAAAAATGGCATTTTCGCTTTAATTATTAATATTTTTTTTAAATTATTCAAAAATTGGGTCGATAGTTTTAATTTAAACAAAATTGAAATAAAATAATTTATATTCTAGATTTATTGTTTAAGAAATACCGTAATCGATCAAGGTAAAAATAAAAATTTTCTTACACGTTTTCTATAATTTCTACAAAATATTTTTTTCGCATTTTTCATACGAGTATGTTTATAAAAGAACAAAACAAAGTCATTCACGAACCTTTATAGAAACATTTCTTTCAAATAATTAAGAAAACGAGTGTATAAATATTCGTTTTGAGCCTGGCATTAGCATAACCATAAGCAATGAACAAAAGTTTCATTGATACGAAATTGGCACTTACAATGATTAGATTGCAAAGAAAAATATTGCATACAGGTTTTTTGTACGTACTACAAAGTATATGATTACGTATAAACTAACAATTGTGCGAATATTGTGCGTTATTCAGATTAAAATTGAAAAATTCAAAAATGTATATCACAGTTCTACAAAAACTTATTCGAGTAAGGCTTTCAGTTTCTTTCGTAAAATTTTTCCTGATGGATTCTTCGGTAGACTGTCTACGAATTGCACTCCTCCTATGAAATAAGATATTTTTACAATAACTTAAATCGTTTCAATTATTTAATGGCTATTTATTCACTTACCTCGAAGCTCTTTGAATTCCGAAACTTTGCCTTTCACAAAATCCTGTATTTCCTCTGTTTTCGTTGCACCCTTTTCTTTCAGAACTACGAAAGCCATGGGTACTTCTCCGCTTCTATCGTCAGGTATTCCCACGACACCTGCTTCTTCAACGTTGGGATGTGTTCTTATCAAAGCTTCGAGTTCCGCTGGTGCCACCTAATGATTGAGCACGATTTACAGGTAAAGGAAATTTGAAAACGTGAACGAGCAGCGAAGTAGAATGCTCACCTGGAAACCTTTGACTTTTATGAGCTCTTTCAATCGGTCGGTAATGAAGAAATCCGAATCTTCGTCGAAGTAGGCAATATCACCGGTCAGTAACCATCCGTCCTGCAGAGTCTCTTCCGTTGCCTTCTGATTGTTCAAATAGCCCTTCATCACGTGCGGGCCACGAATCCATAATTCACCAGTTTGCCTCGGCGTAGTAACATCTTTCTTCGTAATAGGGTCGACCAACCTGGCTTGGCAACCGCAAATGGGTCGCCCTATGCTCGAGTACTTTGTGCCGGTTTTCTCGTACAGCGACACAGGCGACGACTCTGTCATCCCGTAGCCTGTGGAAAGTTTGCCATTTAAATTGACAATCGAAATTTATACTTCAATCGTCAGTTTTCTTTTGTTTTCATTGTTTCGTCTCTTACCCTGTCGAAATTTGAGCTTGTCGCGAGCGATGGAGAATTTCTCGTAAAATCTTTCCACGTCGGTGTCGGACAGAGGCGCAGCCCCACTAGTAATGTACGTGACGTGATCGAGGAAATGTTTCTTGACCAACTTGGAGGAGGTCAAAAACAAAACGATCGGCGGGACCAGCATCAATTCCGTCACTGGATTACGCTCCAATACCCTGACATACGATTCGGGCGTGAACTTTGGTAAAGTAATCAACTTGCCACCGGTTGTCATCTTCGAGAGCATGACGGTAACCATGCCATAAATATGATACATAGGCAATATCACAGGGATTATTTGTTGAAATACTCCTGCAAATATTTCATCGTAGTAAGGATGCGACAATTTAGTATTCAATGCGATTGATTATTAATACCATTGGATGGTACAAGAACATCGTCCTTCAGAGTGTCCGCCATCATTTTTAAATTTGCCACAATATTGCGATGCGACAGCATTACTCCTTTCGGCAGGCCAGTCGTGCCGCTGGAGTACGGTAAAACTGCCACGTTATCGAATGCAAAGTCTCTCGAGCTCGGGACAGAAAGCGTTTTTCCTTTTGTAATGAGATCCTGGAAAAAAAATGCATCATACCAAGTGAATTTTTTACTCAATAAAAATGGTGAATGTTTAAAAAAACGTCGGCTATTTTCGTACCTCGAATGGAATGGCATCGCTGGGCATCGAATTTACCTGATCGTCGACCACGATCAATTTAGCCCCGGGCATGCTCTGCTTCATTGCGCTTTTTACTGTCTCGGCTATTTCTGTCGACGTGATAACGGCTTTTGCGCCCGACGATATCAACTGCTTGGATATTTCATCTAAGCAAACATTTTAATTTCATAATGAAAATCACGCGCAGGTAGCTTTTTTTTTTGTTAATCCAGGAAATTATGAAAATAGACTCTGACCAACTGTGTAAATTGGATTGACCGTGGTGATGACGATTCCGGCCTCGAGACAGCCCAGAAAAGCGATGGGACTCTCTGGCAGATTTGGCAAGATAATGGCCAAGACGTCGCCCGGCTTCAAGCCCATGTCCAAGAGACTCCGCGCTATGTAGCTCGAGTAGTCTCTCGCTTGCGCGTACGTATATTTCCTTCCCGTTACGCCACACTCCTAGGGACATTTCATAAGAGATGCAAATTCATTATTCCCGTCTCTCGTCTATTTTTACAATTCTCGGTATCGTCGCAAATTCAGTAAACGCCGAAAATGTATGGACGTATGTACGAGGAGCGATTGACATTTTAAAAAGCACTAAATAAAGCTTACCGTGGCTATCATGTGAGAGTAGCTCTGCAACGTTTCCCAAACGTATTCGTGAATGGGCATCTCCGGATAAGACAACTGGCCGAAGGGTGAATCGATTATGTGTTCACCCTTTTTCGGTGCCGGGAAGTAATGTTGAATAGTATTGATCGACGCGTGTCGACTCTGCTGCTTCAATAATTGATCTTGCAGCTTGGCTCCGAATTTCAGAATCCGGCGAATTAGCGTTGAGGTCATTTTCTCTGCAATTAGTTTGCTAAATGGTATGTGTTTACGCCAAAATAACGAAGCGTAATACGAGCAAAGCGCGAAATATATCTATGTTATACGTTCATCAAAGTTTTTGGAATTTATCGACTCGCGAGCTCGGCAAAGGCTTCTCCATATGAGGATAAAAATACCTCCGCTCAATTGTATGATGCTATGAACTCTCGCGAGACTCCAAATGAATTTAATGCTATTCTACCGTATTGCATGTGAATTTAATAATATCATTCGCAGCATTATCGTATCGGTTAATTAGAGTCCAAAGAGGTCATTTATCGAAGTGTCGTTCGTAACGTTTACTCGCGATAAGTGATGCTCACTTGAGTATATTTTCAAATTTTACAGTCTGAAACTTTCAAGGAATTGATTATAGAAAATTCATTAATATGTATTTATTGATTGTAATGATATGAAAATAAATTGGATAGTTTTATATAACTTTAAAATTTTGTCGTTTTTATTTTTGTTTTTTACATTTATATTAATATTTTCTATTGTACATCTCTTATAATTAATGCTACAAATGGCAATCGCGAAAAATAATTTGCATTCGATAAAAGGTAGTGTTCACTTTTACTATGTAATATGTATATTTGTTTTACACGCTTGTTACAGGCAATAGTTATTTCTTATTAGTTGCACCACGCTGGGTCAGGCCTTCAAATCTCTTGAAAGTGTAATTAATGAAGACCCAATCTTTGTATATTGTTTCTCCATCCTGTGGTGTAGGAGGTGCTGTTATTTCTAATTTGACATCTGGGAAATCATCGAAATTAGATGTATCGTCTATTGATTTTACGTCAACTGGAATTGCAGCTGGTCTTTCTCTAATATATGTCCAGTCGACACCTCTGAAGAACGGTGCCAATTTAATTTCTTCTATGCCACGCTGTGATCCTAATCTTCTGTCAGCTTCACAGCAAAATTTAATTATTGTATCTTTAGCTTCTTCACTTATTGGTACTTCTGGAGGAAATATCAAAGTCTCCCTCCAGTTCATAACTTTTTTATAAGTTTCTTGAGGATTTTCACTACAAAATGGTGGATAGCCAATCAGCATTTCATACATGATCACACCCAGAGACCAGCAATCGCAAGCTGGCCCATATCCTGCTTGAAGAAACACTTCTGGTGCTATATAATCTGGGGTACCTACTGTACTATATGCTAATGCTCTCCTGTTTTTCTTCCAACTTTCAGCTCGCCTTTTACTATCTATTGCACCACCACTTCCAACGCTGCAAGAAGCCATAAAATCTGAAGGTTTAGCTTGACTCAAATCTCTATAAAAGTCAGTTCGATGAGATTTTTTCAAACCAGTACACAATCCAAAATCTGACAATTTAATGTGACCACGAGCATCCAGTAAGAGATTATCTGGCTTGATATCTCTATGTATAAAACCAAGCTTATGTATAGAGTCAATAGCTAAGGCTGTTTCGGCTATATAAAATTGAGTACATTCTTCTGACAAGGTGTCTTTCTTCATTAGAAGGGTCATCATATCACCTCCAGGTAAGAATTCCATGATTAAGTATAAATTAATTGGATCTTGGAAACTGTAGTACATTTTAACTACCCACTGGTGATCTGCTTCTACCAAAATATCTCGCTCAGCTCTTACATGAGCCACCTGTTCCTTTTCAAGCATGTCAGCTTTGCGTAGGATCTTCATGGCGTAAACATGTCCAGTGTCTTTTTTTTGAACTAAACGAACTTCACCAAAAGCACCCCTACCGATAACTTTAAGAGGTTCAAAATCTTCGACACCAAGCCTGGAACGTTTAAGTCGCAAGAACTCTGTCTCCTTTTGTGCATGCTGCAAGCGTTTTTCCTGTCGCTGTTGCTCTGTCAAAGCTTCATCTTTCAGAGACTCTTCAAGCTTTGCTAATCTTTGCTTACGCTCTATATGCTGATGTATGAGATTACTGTAGTAATTTTCCAGTGTCACTTTTGCCTTTGTAGCCTTGTCTAGCGTGTGGCCACGAAATCTTATGCTATTCTCTGGGGCAGACATGTCGAGTATACCATCAAAATTTGAATTAACACAGTTGTTGGCGTTGTTACTTTGCACAGGAGAGTGATGTTGTTGCTGCTGCTGTGGCTGTTGAAACTGCTGCTGTTGTGGCTCATTGTCCAATACATCAGACACATGTGTGTGTAATTGATGTCTCGCCTCGAGATTAGTCACGTCTTCGCTCATTGTAAACACAAATTATTATTGTTATTGTTTTAGCTGTCGCCCGCTTGCGCAGGTTCTCTCAAGCTAGAGTAGGATTTTTTCAACAATCAACGTAGCTCACAGTATAAATACTCAAATCGACGAGTACACTTACGACTAAGTCGTAGAACTGGATTTAGCTGAATTACGACAGAGCCGAGCGAAAGTTTCGCGATAAAGTGTATAATATTATTATAAGTAGTAGAGAGAGAGAGAGAGAGAGAAAGAGAGACAGAGAGAGACTCAAGTCAGATTCAGTGGCATTCCTGCTGAAGTGCCGAGTGGTGCGTTGGCGATGATGATGATACGCATAAAAATCATAAACGAACGTAATTAATGTTTAGCCGATGGCGATGTCTCACGACGGAGACGACGAGGATGATGAGCGAATCGCGTAGCTAGTCCAGGACGAGCTACCTTTTGTCTCGCTTCTTACGTCGTCGTAGCTGCGATCCAGCAGTAGCAGCATAATACAACGTCGTACAGACGGATTTTCCCGCATGCCATTTGATGTGCAAAGGCAAGCAGCAGCAAAACACTTTGGCAGTCACAGTTCGCGTACTTGGCGTCGACGCACGATTTGTCAAATGGTGGCTGATTATTCGATATATAACACACTTAAATATTGCTTTTATGTTGTTTTATCAGTCGCGCAGCGCATATAGGCTCTCTCCGGACTATGTGCAATAAAGAGAGAAAGAGCGAGGCAGTCTGCGAAAAGTAGCAGTACTCCCCTCTTCTTGGAGCGGAGACGTAACGTTACACTGCTGCTGCTGCTGCTGTACAGAAGAGCGAGGCAGTGCCGTGCGACTACGACGACGACGACTTGTACACGAGAGCTTTTGTCTGTGTGCAGTGCTGATATTCGCGCACGTACAGCAACTTACACATGCACACATTGGCACTACACAGCGAGGCAGAGCAGTATAAGCGAGCACAGTGCATAGTCCAGCGACCTAACCTCGCTGAAATTCTCTACTCCGTGCGCGAATGTCGCGTAGGTGTGTGTATACACACACTGCCGTCACGCAGCGCGTGTATATAGGTATATGCACATGTAATGTACACACAGAGGCGCTTTTTATGCTAAATACCACTGTATCGTGTAATCGCGGCCTGCCTGTTATAACAGCAAGCGCAGCAGCATGTAAGCTCGGGCCGAGCGAGAGAGATGGAGGAAGCTTAGAGTCTTTATTGTGTGCCTACACTGTCCTCGCCGAATTCCTGCTTCGTGCTCTTTTTTATACTTAAAATAATACTGCGATATACATGTATCGAGAAATCCAATTATGCACGCTGCACTTGCAGATATATGCTCTATAGTCTCTGTCTACTTTGCGTATTACAAATTGCACTTCGTGTACTTGCGGTCGCAGATTTTCTCTTGAGCTTTTTCCAATATTCTTTTCCTTTTCAATCGGTTTTGTAATATTTACGACGTACAACAGTAAAATCGAACGCCGAGAAAAATTTAACTTTGCTCCTATACCTCCGAGACCGAGATATACCTACTGCTGTGCGGGAGGCCGCGCGGAACTGCGCGTGCATCGAACGTTTTCAACAGGTTTAATTAAAAAGTCATTACAGTATGCAAAAAGTCGCTCAGACCGCGTCGATTATATCCGCACTACAGAGGATGAATTACGTGCGCTCGAGTTATTTTTAATAACTTGATAAGATTTTTCGAAAAAAAAAAACATACCGCGTTCACTACTATTTGTCATTGAGATTTTTTTTTGCTTTGTCACGTGTATAAAGTTGAAACTTTTTGCGAGGCAGCAGTTAAAAAAGAGAGAGAGAGAAACGATGATGTGAATTTATAGCGCTTTTGATACGGCAGCTAGTTTATTAAGCACGAGACTTCGAAAAATAAAAAACCTCGCAACAGCATGACCGAGCGTAATTTCGACGCTCTTTGTCGTACGTTGCGGATCGTACTGGATTTATTTTCATCGGGTAAATAAAAATGATCGAATCATCGTTATCGTACAAATTAAGTAATAAGAAAAAAAACAAGTAAAGGTTCCTCCATGGGTCTGCATAAATGGGCGATATTATTTTAGCGCGCAACTGCAGAAAGTACATAATGCCCGAGAAAGAATGCAAAAAAAAAAGAGGAGCGAATCGAGCGATGGACTCGCACTCGTGATTGGAACGCGATAGCAGCGAATCGAGACACTCGTTATATACTGTATGCACGATAATGAAAAGGAGACGAAAAAAAAAACAAACAGTCGAACAAACGTTATACATCGCACTTTGCTCGTTATATTGTACTCGATTACCGTAAACGATAATATTATGCACTCGGCTCGATATTAATTTAGGCATGAAAATAAACAATTGTGATTTGTTTACGTACCCAATTGTGGCTGCTGCAATTCGCTTTTTTACGCTCGTGGCACGAGTGTAAAATACAGTAAAAATATTTGTTCGCTTATAGTTTGGATCGCCCGTTGCTCCGGCACATGTGCGGCGTTCACAGCATCAAAACAAACACACCGGTCTTATTACGACATGCGAGTTTTAAATCACCTTCTCAAACTTTGTGTTTCGAGTATAAAACGACGCTCGTAGCTCGCGGAAAACGTAACGTAGACAACTAGCGTTAAAACCCAAAAATAAAAGAAAAAAACTCGTTGTAAAAATATATTATTATGAAATTAGGCAATTTTTATTAGTACAAGCTCGCGGCTCGAGAGATCCGGCAAACGTAGTACTACACGCCAGCGCAGCAGTCGCATATATGTAATTTGTCGCTCCTCAGATGTGTGCCTGGAACATTATAAGTTGAGGCAAAAGTTGTTGGCTGCTCCGAGCTGCGGCTATATTATACACACGATGCCGCCGGTGACGTGTCGTGCACGACTTGTTTTTACCCCCACATGCAGTGTTTGTATATGTGCTGCTGCTGCTGCTACTCGACGAGCCAACTGCTGTCCCACCGTATAGCACACACACGCACACCAACTCACATCGTGTATAATATACAGCTATATCACAAACACGTTCTCTGCAACGAAGGAGATTACTGCAGGCCGAGAGTAGGGTTGATGCGCTGAAAATAATGTACTCGAAGCACCGATGCTAAAAAGAAGAAGAAAAAATAATAATAACGAGTACGAAGCGTATAAGTACGGAGCTGCGGCGCGCTCGTGGGTGCATTATCTTTGTTATGACTCGTATCTGTCAGCTCGCCAAGCAAGCCAAGAAAGGAGGCGAATTGATAAGGCGGACCCGATTGTTGCGAGTTGCGAGGGCTCGATTGCTGCGAATCGAATCCAACGTGCGAATAGCAAGCGATAAGATTCTACATTGGTGCGTTGCGCGCGCGGCGATATAAGCGACCAATCTCAAATTGGACCTTGATGATTAAATGTGGTATCTTATCAACTCGAGGCATCGTAGAGATCTGCAAGAGAAAGAGAGCAGGAGAATAATCTGCGAATTAATCCGCAGCTGCAGTCGATGATCAAGATTCTTCTTGGGATGATACTCGTACGCGTTTCAATATTGAGCTCGATTTGCAAAATTAAAGCAACGAACCGATTGCAAATGGAGAGTCAGTTTTAGAGATCTTTATAGCTTGAATGGAAGGTGAAGGTTTATCATAGAGAATAAAAGTCAAAATGAACTTATGCAGAAATATTCGCGCGGTCGGTGTTTCTGCGTATTGTATAAGCTCTGTATCGAACTTTACATTCAGTTATTCAATTTCGAATTGACTAAATTTTTTCAAATGATATTCTCGGCAAACGAGTGCTAAATTTTTATTTACGGATTAATAATGTCGTGTAATAAATATATGCCACCGATTAATTATTCATGTTCGTTTTTATTATTAATAATTATGAATCTCTTTCTTTATCATAATAAAAGCAAAAAATCGTTTTGAGATATCGGCAGTGAAGTATGTACAATCTAGCGTTATGATCACAATATAATTTTAATGAGGGGACGATATACTCGTTCTATATTTTCTTCTCTTACGTTTGATTTACGTATATATGTTTTTTGAAATGTAAAAGAGTGTCGGAAATATTTTTCGATGCGATGAAAATGGCAAATGCTCGTGAATATGGATTTTATGACATCGATGACACTCGACGCCGCCAAACGGATGAAAAATCGGCATCGGCGATTATGACCGGCTGTTGGACCGAATAGAGTTCTGCGCGTCTCATGATGATTGATCGGTAATAATTAGATGAGAAAATAACGATGAGAGAATAGTAAACAGATATAATATGCATGTAATATAATTAATATGTCATAATAATAATTATTACGCACTTTTGTTGGTTTTTTTATATCGGTGAAAAGAGCAGTAAAGGTGATGCTTGTGTTGTCATAATAACAATGATAATAATTAAGAATAATAATAGTAATAGCGATTAAAATTATGTATAATATTATTTACCTAATATTGCATTTAGAAGTAATACTAATTTTAACATAAAATCATTAAAATATATATAATGTACGTATCATGATGATAATTATGAATAATAACCGTAATGATAAATCTAATTTTTGCTGTCTAGTCATTACAATAGTTTTCTTTTTTCACACTCGTTCTCTCGGCCACAATTAATTTCCATCATAAAACATTTTTGTCATCTTTTTCTTTCTTTTCGTGTTTTTTTTTTGTTATGTCGGTACGTATTTTATATTATGTTTTTCTACACAGGTTCTCAACGCAGCAACAGAAAGTTATGCATTATTATTACTTTTTTTTTCTTCGTTTGTTCTTCGCACATTTATATCATGTCTGTATCTCGTGTTTATAATAATTAATTAATAATAATCGTAATATTTATGTATAATATTTTTCTTTACGTATAATATATATCCCAAATAAAAGCACCGAAGTTTCTTTTACACGCAGTCGCCCGTTTATCTCTCTCTCTCTCTCTCTCTCTCTCTCGCTTGCTCACTTTAACTCATTTGGGTCTCTCTTTCGCTCACGCACACACACACAGACAGCATGACCCGCACTCGCACACACGCACACGCATGTAATACATTTTTCTTATAATGCACGCGAAATGAAAGTAGTGAGGTAGAGTAATAATAAAATTAATTATGTAAGCGCATAAAAAAAGGAGAAGAAAAAAAGGAGAAGATTAATTAAAAAGTGTGTGTATGTGTGTGTCGCATATATATTTCGTATAGACATATATATAATATACAATACAGCTGGACGCGTAAATGCGCGTATGAGTGCGATGGACTGCACTGCCGATCATCGCAATATAGGCGCGTTAACGCGTCGCGCGTACAATAACGACATATATATGTGCATACCGCATATAGGCGTATCGAAGCATATATTACAATGTGGGATCGCGCGAGCACTAATAATAAATACATGTTACGCGATCTTGTTTGTATACTCGTCAATAATTCGACAGCAATTATTACAAAAACGTTCGGTAAACAAACCACCGTTAAAGAACGTCTAACGCGAGTCGTTTTTCGTTATCTTTTTATTTTAATATCTCTTTTATAATTTAACTTTTATTTATACGATTATTTTATTATAAGCCGAATATAAATCTATAACATTTTAATTAATCCATTAAATTACGTAAAAATAGTTGCTTTTTTTCCCTTCATTTTCATCGTTAGCGCAGGCACACACACGTCTCGCACATGCAATCGCCGCACTCACGCACGTATGTACTCGAGTCGCTCTCTCGTATAATATTTATAATAACGAGGGGAGGAGGATAAAACATCGTTATATAAAATTCGAAAAATTATAAAACAACAGAGTCTTGTGTTTTTGTTTGCTTGTTTGTTTGTTATTCATCGCGCTTCGCTCAGACTTTTAGGTGTTTGAGACGTTGCAGGTATTTTCAAGCGTGTGTGCAACGTATACTTTTTGAAGGGATGCCGAAATCTAGGCAATTATGAGAATGATCAAGCCCGTTTTACGAAACGCAAAAAACGAGTTTAACAATTTTCATTTTTACTCTAGCTCCGGCATCGCTTTAACTATGTGAATGATGTATAATGCGGGGGATCGTACGAGGATCCATTTAGAACAATGCGCTTTTTTTGTTTGTTTAGTGTTGTCATGAAGTTAATTACTATAATAGGTGATAAACTACACGAAAAACCTAAAATCAGGCCGATCACATTTCAAACGTTTTACCCGTTCATCCGTTTGTCTGTCTGCGTCAGTTTCAATAAATTAACTATTTTAAACCGTCTTTTCTCTACTCACAGATTTGTCTACTTTGACTAAAAACGTTATGATTTAAAATCACTTTTTTCACATTTCTTCCGATATCTTTGCTACTTTTTTTTATGTAATAATCATATTAATATATATATATATTTATATATTTATACTTTTTATATACCTTTCGCCGATTTAATCAAAGAGGTACAAAAACGTGAAATTTAGAATTTAAAGTGTGTACACGGCGTAGCGATATACACGTAAACATTTTTTAAATTTATATTCGTTATCGTAATATATGTGTATTATGTATTTATAAGTTATGCACTACCTAAACAATTTTGATGCAATTTATTAATATACGCACAGCTTGCCGTGATGTTATTTTTTTTGCAACAATTAATTCTTATTTTTTTTCACATTATTATTATATAATATATAATCCAGCATCCGTGCCTCGTATTACGTTCAACGAATGATTTTCCTATCTTGTTAATTATCTACACAGAGTTTGTCTTAATGTGTATGTTCAAGAGTCTAAGATTGCATAATTATGAACAATGGAAAAAAAATGTCGGTGATGCAGCAGACGAAATAAAACATTTCATTATATATATTTACGTCGCTTTTTTATTACTGTTAGTGTGTGATTATGTGTGTTTTATTATACATTAATTATCATTAGTTTTTTTTTCAAATTGTTTTGTTGTAACGTAAACGGTTGCAATCCACGTAAGTCTCATTGTAAAATGTACGATAATGATGAATGTGAATAAGTCTAAATTATTTCGTGCATCGATCCCCGATACGATGGTTCGCAAGAAATCCTCTCCCTAACCCTTTTTTCTGCATTTTTCCAACCCTCGTTTCAATACACAAAATCCACGAATTTTTTTCTTTTTTTTGTATATTACATCAACAATAGCTCTATTTACATATTTACCATATTTATCATCTCGCTTATTACGCGTCGTTTTCTCGCGGCTACGTACATCGAACCGATGAACATTGAAAACTCCAAGGCCCCGTTTATTTATTTTTTTTTTTTGTGTCTTTTAAAAATTTTGCAGTCACGGATAAAAATAAAATTTTTCCGCTTTTTTCATCTTTTATAAAATTCTATTTACTTACAGTGCAACGAAAGCGACATTATTCCCATCGTTAATTTTTTCTCTTATTTTTTGTCAATAAAAAAGTTCGCTTTTGCTTTCGTCTGCACTGAGGAAAAGTTCGAGTTCCATGCGAACCACCGTGCTGAGGAGATATATCGTATGAACAATATCAACGTTTGCTTGTGTTATCATTTTTTTGTTGTTGTCTTTCATTACGATTACTAAAGTCTTAGAAGCTAAAAAAACTTGGTCGCGCAAACGTGCGTATGGTGGTAAATATACATTATATATCGCTTGTAGAATATTTATTTATAATTTTTGTCTCAAACCCGCTCTATGAGTGTGTGTTTATGCCTTTTAATCTTTATTATTAATATACCCTTGGTAGTCAGTACGATATTGCGCGAGTCGCCGTACGAAAAGTTAATTATTATTTTTTTTCTGTTTTTTTTTTTGCCCAGCGACAAGCTCCATAATGTAATTATATATTATAACGGATACTCTTGAACCCAGACACGAAGGATCGTGTGAGCATTGATGATAGTTACAGGAGAACATGGTGAATGCCAAAAATGTCTAATTTAAGAGGAAGTGAATTTTTGAACTATCAAGATTCTTTAGATTTAACGCCCAGTAATTCAGAACATAATCTTCTGTAAAGTCTTGGTAATCTTATCAATCGCTTAAAAACGTAGAAATTATAAAGCGAAGAGTCAAAACAAAATTGTCTATCATTCAATGGATTCGCAAGTTTATGCGTGACAATATTTGTACAAAGTTTCAGAAGTATTAATGCTGATTTATAAAAGAGGAATTGTCGGTTCTATTGCAAGGGTATCAATGGAGAAATTTGAAAAAAAATGTTAAACAAAAACTTTTCTGCCATTTTTTAAGTATATACATATTCATAATCCATAATTATCATATATAATACAACAATAACAATAATATATAAAATTTTAATAATGACAAGTGCAGAACATCTCGCAAATTTAAAAATAATAAGTCGCTCAGTCTTTAGAAAACACACTAAATCCTTCGGTCTGAGGGTTCAAATTTTATTCTCGTTTCTTGTTTAGTTATTCCATTCATTAACATACAAGTTTATATAAAATTTAACTCCAAATTGTATTTTATAACTTCTAGCTGCAACTTGTGTAATCGTTAATTATTTGTTATGCATAATATAATTTTTTTTCTCAGAATACGCTTTTTCCGAGTTTAATTTTGCTCCGTACGTGAGTGCCATGCTCATTTTTTGTGTGTCGAAAAATTTTTTGTTATTTTTTATTATCCATATACCATAGTCGTCAAGTGTACATAAATGTTATTGTTTTTTCAGACTTAACAAATTCAATAATTTTTTTGTTTTTTCATTAAGATTTTTCATTTTTTCTTTTCTCTATGAATGAAAATTGCATCGATTATGGAAATTTTAGAAGTCATGTTTTTTTAAATAAATTTTTCAAAGTTCAACCGATTTGGTTAAATTTTAAAATTTCATTTGATATTGTTTTTTATGATTTATCTAGTTACAAGATAGAGAGAATGAAGTTAAAAAATTACGTGGGCAAATTTAGGAATGTCGAATAGAATTTCAATATCCAAAATAAAAGAAATCAAACGCTTTTGCCAATTAATGATATTCTCACGTTTCGTCCGAGGTTAATTTCTTCATTATTAATCAACGATTAAAATATTAGTTGGCGCTAGAGCCTTATTCATAATCGCAATTTCTTTTTTTGTCTTACACAAATTTTTTGTCTACTTATTTTTAAATATTCTACAATTACTTTTATTACGCATTTACCGTAATCACTGTACTTTTTTTATGATCCTTCAATCACATCTCATATATAATTATTATTTTTCTTCTTTATTATTTTCTTTCACTCTTTGTACGTAATGTTTTTTTAACATTTTTTCTCTCGTTATAATGCACGCACAAATATTAATCGTACATATTTGTTGTAAGTCTTTTTTGCATTCATAGAACAATTTACATAAAATTTGGATCTTCTCTCATACGCTTTCCGATCGAAGTATCACATGACGCGTTACCGTATCGTTAACGCTATTTTCTGTTTGCAAAATTGTTCGGAGTTGTTCGCATTCATGAAAGTCCTTTAACTTCGTTCCAATGATCGCGAAGGTGCTGACGACTCGCTTTCCGGCACATAAAAATAAATTTTTTTTCGCATTTTTACACTCGACTACTGTACAACACTATATTATATTTGTCGAGCACAGCTCGGTGGGATTTATTGCGCCAATTTAAACAATCGTTTTAAATATCAGCTACGTTTCAGTAAAGTCTTAAAATTAAGCAACGAAATATATAGACTTTAAATCTTTTGCATTGTGGAAATGATTTGCTCGGACTACTGATATTCATATTCTAACAAATGTCACGCGACGCAGTCGTTATTTTTGATACTGAATTAAAAATTCGAAATGAATGACGATGAGAATGAAATTTCGATTTGTCTTATAAAAATTAATAAATGCACAAAAACAATACAAAACGTATTTGTAATGCAAAAACGCGTCAGTACGAGTCACGCGAAGACCAAAATAAATGTCAGTAGTTTTTGCTCAGTTCTTTAATAAAATATCGTGTACAAGAGAAGGAAAAACGTAGTCAGCTTATTTTTATCACAGCTATATATGTAAACCACCATTGCGCATTTAATCGTAAAAAATGTAAGTGCGAAGTATATCTCGTATGTATCATTTATTTGTTATATATTATATCTCTAAAGAAATATGCATCGGTGAATCGTGTAATGCGTATAAGTATGTTATTTCATTACTTTCGTAGAAATCCAACCCCCGCATTATAATCTTCATGTATTGTAAGACAGTAACTTTTCCGCGCGAATATTTTGATTAAAAATTATCATTTACACCTGCTCCTTGGACAATAGAACATATAAAAATGAAGATTTACATCCTGTTATGATATAGAACGATTAAGTGTGATTCGTTACTAATAATGATTGATTGGGTGTTAACTATGCATTACTTGATTTCGTTTACACGTTGAAGCTACACAGGCGTGCCGATATAGTTGGGTTGATATTATTGTAGAAAAAATGTCTGCTATTAAGTGTCTTTGCAACGTTTAGTATTTTTATTAAATATTTATCAGGTAGTCGTCATTCACTACCTATCAACGAACAGAATAATTTTAATTTAACGAGAATTTTTACAATTTTATTTTTATAATGTAGCTCAGACTCATTTATAGACGACCCGTTTCTTTTTTTACTTATAAACCCTACATAATGAAGAATGGCTTGCAAAACTGATTTTATTTTACCCTAACCTTGCAAACGCAATTTTCCAATAGTTGAATGGAAAATATTTTCATAGTTACCAGATTTGAAAGCGCTTCATAGCAGCTTCGTTCATTAAAATTATCGAAAAACAGAACACAATTCTCACATTACTTGTCGCCAATTGTAAATAATTTTTTACTTATCCAGCGCGTCAGCGCTCGGAAAACGAGTCGAAATCACAAGTTACTCATCGCCAAATCTACTGTTTTGCATTTTCACATTATTTTTACCACATCAAGCGTGTACATTAGAAATGTGTCATTATTTTCACGTCTAAGAGCATGTATGTGTTTAAAACAGCAGCAGGTATTTGGAAGTAAGACATAATTTTTTTAAAAGCTAATCCGGGACACTTTTTAAATAAAATTCTAAACTTCATACAACCATACGTCAATTATAATGTGTAGAAAAACAGTCAAATATAAATTTGCAATTATTAAAACTTGATACGGACTTTCAAATAACCCACAATACAATATGATGTAATCAATTAGATGCTAATAATTATCAAATATCATTAAATTATATTCAATTAAACTAGTGTGTGGCATAAATTTGCCATGATTATTACCGTATTATGCTTATAAATCTTTTTCTTAACTCAAAATATACAATTTTTATTATTACTCAAGTCTAACAAGAAAATAACACCCTTTTTCCTAAAGGTAGTAATCATGACAAAAGTAATTATAATAGTGACAAAAATATTATAAATTATCGACCAGAGAGATCTCAAGACAGGTAGAAAAAGATTACATCAATGTACGTGCTTTTAGCTTCACTGTGTTTTTTTCAACTTACAATAAGATAAATACATGCACACTTGAAAATATACTTTTAATCAGCCTTTTTTACTATCGAAAGGACGATTTTTCTAATCCTGACAGATATTTTCGAAATAACCGTAGAATACATTTTAGTGAGTTTCATTCAAAGCGTATAAGTAAAACTCCCAGTTTACTTATTTAAAGTAAATTTATCAATAATTTTTATTTACAATTATATTAAATGAATATATTCCTAACAATTTGATAAAATTTATACAAATGCTTGATCAATAAATTATCAATTTACATAATCAACCGATTATCAGGATTAGAAAAAATGTTAGAAAATTTCATTTTTAGTCTTTCGACCTGAGCAAAGTTTCAGACACATATTTATTTTGTAATTAATAATAATGTGTACTTTGCTTATTTAACGTCTGTTTTGAGATTGCTCTTGAGTCGGGATTTTAAGTCATTCGAATTGCTAATCGTTTTTTTTTTATACAATTATACCAAAATTATTTAGTTACGCAATAATAAAACTTAGATACATGTAATGATATACAATATAAGGTACAATAAATATATTTTCACGCGTATAGTACGTATACGTGTGACCATAAAATCAACGACTTCTAAAAAGAAGAGGATGGGGCGTCTATGTGCGCGTGGATTTGATATAATACGTTATGGGGCGCGCGCAGACACATACATACACACATTTTACGCTGCCGTGTATATATATAATAATTTTTTTTTGTTATAGCAATAAAACCAATTTTAACTTATATAGGTATAGATTTTTCCGACAATCATCATTATCATCATAACAACCGATAGCTTATGTACATACAAATATATAAATATATCGCTATTACATTGTTATACTATATACATATATATTTGTATGTTTTTATACACATTATATGCTTAATATAATTCATTTACTTTTTTCATTATAATTCCTATAAACGTATATATATACTTTTTTATCTTCTTTAATTTGTATACGTCGCTCTCTGCTTTAATTTTTTTCTTTAATATATATAAGATATATATAATATACATATATATTTGAATTATTATTATTATATATATGTATATTTATATACTTTATGTGTAACAATAATTTTATGTTTATGTAAGGCCCATTACGTTTAATACGAAGGAAATAATCTGAAACAGAGAAAATTATGTGTCATCCGAATGATGGAAAAGAAAGAGGACAATCGACGCGGGGGCTCGTGAAAATGCTCTTGAACGTGAAACAGCTCGAGTTCATTTTCATGTTGGTTGCGTGGATAGGGCGGAGCTTTTGGACTTACCTTCACAGAGCAAGGCCCCTTTATAGAATTCATTTATTATGCAAGTTGTTGATGCTGTTGTTGCATTAGCTCTAGCTGTTCGTCGTCGTAGTCGTCGTCGATAATTTCGTCGTCTAGCAGTATGCTCGGTAGCTTTGACTCTTGGTCAATTATAATGTCGTCATCGAGTAAATCGTCCTCGTCGTCGTCGATCTGTCCGATTAGGGAGGTCTCGCTACCGTTACCACCGTCACCTACGCCACCGGCTTCCTCGCCGCCACCGTCGTCGTCGTCGTCGTCATCGCCTCCCCCGCCGCCGTCGTCGCCGTCGCCTGAGCTGCGCTGCTGCATTCAGCTATCGACGCTGAACAGCTCTCTGTGAAGCGGCGGGAACTCGACGAGGGGCGCGTTGCGCTTGAATTTGGCCAGGGCCTCCATGTGCATGATCGAGACGTCGCGGAGCTGGGGCTGCTTCGCCATCAGCTGGTCGCACACCGTCACGTCGCCCTTGAGCGGCGTCGTGTGACTCTGTGACAGCTCGGATTTCAGCGCTCGCACTATCGCCTCGTATATTCGTCGAATTTCTGAGATCCCCTTCAAGCCTGGTCGATCTGTTGGATGGGGGGCCAAAAGTTTAGTGAATCGATGAATCGAGGATGGTCCAAATGAAAATTGGCACAAACCGTGACTTAGAAGAACCGCGGCGCTGTAGAGAGCGAGCTCCGTTTCGGTGAGCTTGAACTCGGCGATGCTCTTGGCGAGCTCGAAGATGCACGTGACGAGTTTCATCTCCGCTGTGTCGGATGTGAAGAAGGCATCTCGCGGTATCATCGATTCGTCGTACAGCACGTTGCCCGTATTTAAATCTATATACCTGCTCATGCGAATCACCGCCAACTCAAAAGATCCTGCGCACGCGCAAAAAATACATTAATCACATTGCGAGTCTTTTCATTTGTCAGAAATTCAACAAAACTCCGCCAACACGTACCAGCTTTGAGAAGAACTATTTGATCGTCCTGTGAAAGTTTCATGAACCCTGGTACCATTTTGGCGAACTCGATGATGACTTGTATGACATTCGTGAGCTTTTGGGCGCACTCGAGCCACAGCTGCTCGCACGGAAGATTTTTGTAAAACACCACCCGCTGCAGATCGACCCCGGATGTCTCCTTGCGGAAGCACTCCTGTATGTGTTCGCTGGATGCGAGGCACGTTCTCGTATGGGCGTCCGCTATCGCTTTGCACAGCATCTCGTTTACTTGGGCTTGATCTGAAATTCATTTTAAAACCAAGACATTTCAATTTTACATTTAAATCAAATTTCACAATTGCCTTTACTTCGCGATTTAAAAAAAAAATTGTTGTTGGTGTTGTTGTAATTGTTACTGAAGTTGTTTCTTTTAATCATTTTGCAGTGTGTTGTGTGAACGTGATTAAAATGAAAAATGATATTTTACAAATATATCAGCAACTATAAATTGGTACAAAAAATTAATTATTAAATTAAATAATAAAGACTGTACATTATGAACAAACAAACAAAATTGAAAAACGGAAAAATAAAATAAGCGTCCTTACTTATTTAAATGTAAAAGTATATAAACGCCGCCTAGTATATAATTGCTTTACTGTGCGTTGTTGATTACAACATTGAATATTTTAATATTAAATTTAGTATTTACAAAGCTTTATACAATCTTGGATTTAAAGGATCAGAACAGAGTCGATGGTTATAATTAAATAATGACAAACAATAATACACTGCAAAAATGCAGTAGTTATCCTTTTTAGTTTTTAAAAGTTTAGAGATTTAATACATATTGAATAGAAAAAAAAACATTTATTTACACTCGGAGAGAAAGAAATAACAGGGTTTTATCCCACTGCTGATGCCACTGGTATGCGCTAGAACTATTGGCCCCGAGCGTTAGCACAACGTGGCGCTTTCTCATATTAATTCTCATAAGACAAAATTTAGTTCGAGCGGCCGATTCTGGCGTTTTTTCCGGACGCGTCCTGTTATTCCGTAAGATTACGTGTAAATGGTGACTGCAGCGCCACTCTAAGCTCCGCCCCAACGCTCAGTGCGAATATGTATATAGTACATTACGTCACTCGTGCGCGAAGTGGGTGATTCTCGCACGAGTCTCAGTTTGACGCCCGAGCGCAGCGAGGGTGACAATGAGACGAGGGCGAGAATCACCACGCGCACGAGTGACGTATACTATTTTTTATCACGAGTTGCGGGAAGTTTTTATTTCCCGCACGCTATGATAAAAAAGTATAAACGCATGTGACACGCTGTATCACCTGATCGAGTCGCACAGCCCGAGTAAACACAGTAAGCAAGCGTGAAAGAGACAGAAATACACGTCGATGCAAAGTCGCTACACAGTCACCGACGTCGAGCAGTGCTACTTGCCGCAGCAGCCGAATTATTTGATACGTACGGGGGACGGTCGATTCGATACGCTCTACGGGAATATCCAGCACGGTTTATGGAATCGTTCGTTACTTGCTATGCCGGGAATAAAAGGATGGCGCTAGTCGAAGTACACGTTACGACGAGCGGTATAGTTCATCCCTGCTGTCATTGGAAGTATACCGAGGACATCTGCGGTGGGATATAACCCTGTTATTTCTCTCCGAGCACCAGACAATTTCAAAAAAATCTTATGAGTATTAATAAATTAGACTATTTTCTCGAAAATCAAAGTTATTCATTAAAAGTTTATTAATTCTTTTGAAAAAAAAAACAGTATTTTGAATTTTTTCAGCATTTCCCAACGTGACAGAGAGAAAAGTTTGAAAAATCGTAATAAAAAAAATACCACTAAAATTAGAATTGTACCTAAATTTAGTATAAATATTTTATCAACGAAAAAAGTATAATAAAGAATATCATTAAAAATAAGCTAGTGCCTAGCGCAGTTTTTACCTTGTCATAAGTGTATGTGTCTGATGTTATGAACAATCGTATTTTCATACAAATAATTATTTTTAGCAAACATCCTTTCATTCATGATTTTGATTTTACCAAAATGAATATGTGCCGAGAAGAAATGTTAGTTTATGTAAAAAAAAAATAAAATAAAAAATAAATAAATAACCGTTGAGAAAATATCCTTGTCGAAGAGTGTGTATTATTGTCTTCAAAAAAAAAACCAATTCGTGAATTCATTCGTAGCTGGCTGAGTACATGTAGAGTGTGCGTGTTCGTTTGGTAGTGATAAATTAATCTTAATAATAATATTGATGTAGTGAACTAACGAAGCTGCAAAAACTTGAAACTGCAAAAAAGCGTATAATAAGCATTCATAACAAGAGATGTCAAATGAAACATGAAATATGTAATTGAAAATGGATTTTGACATCTCTTTTGATTTAAGTATATATAATGTATGAGTGTTAAAGTTATCGATGAAATGATAGAGTAAGATTATTTGCAAAAGCTAATTAATTTTCAACTAAATTATTCATGCAACTATACTCCATTCACGTGATACATATCAAAGTGAAATTTATACAACACAGTTCGACAAAAAATCTCATAATACAACGATCAAATCGCATCAAAAACACATTATACCAGTGCTCAAGATAATCCAAATTTTGGTTATAAGTTAATTCGTCATGAGACAAATATTATGGGGGAAAAAAATAACACGAAGTTTAATTGTAAAAGGGCGAATTTTTTAAATTTTTATTATCAAAAATCATATAAGGAATTAAAAATTAATTTTCCAGCTTCTTTTCTCACCAGCGGCCCGAAAGTAGCATTTCTTATTTTTATTTATCGATTTTTATCCATTATTCAGTATCCATTTTTATTTATCCCTTTTTTATTATGAATTTAATTTTTAATATATTTATTATGTCATCCTAAATAACTCAACAACATTTAATGTTTTTTATTTTATTAATTTTTTTGTTGCACTTTTGATTACTCATTCATTTATTACTTACTTATTAATCAATCATAAAACTACGAAAATTGTTTACTTAGCTAAAGAAAAAATTTACTATTGTCAAAAACGCTTTACATATTTTTTTCCGAATTTTGTATCTAACTTTCAACGGGCGCATAACATAACTCATAAAAAGAAGTTGAACTAGATTAAATCACAAATCGATCAAATTGCTGGATTATTTTGTGCTTCAATTCTTCTCTCCTCGCCACTAATGTGCTTTTTCCATACGATTTGCTTATCAAATTCTTAACTTATAATACAATAAAATTTCGATATTCGAAATCCTAAATTCAAACTGTAATTCCAAATTAAGGAAGATTTAAAATTATCAAAATAAATTTATATGATTTGATGAATCTAAATGCAAAATTTTATTTTGAAGTATCGAGGATTTCGAATTATCGAAGTTTTACCGGAGATTTTCTTGTTCGTTAAACTATAATATGTATTTCTCAAATAATTGGTGGGTATTATTATTCTTATTATTATATTTACGCTGATAGACCTTTAAGAGAACAATGATATTGCATGTATGAGTCTTATAAAAAGTAGGAAGTTTCAAACTGTATAACATAATTTTGTACTTAAAAATCGGAAACGTCCTACTTTTCTGAAGATCCGTCGACCTGATACGACCACAGGCCTACAACGAATTTAACATTCCTCTTAAAGGTTTATCAGAGATGTCGCCATGAAGTTTCCATGAATTATATAATTAATATTAAAAAGATCATCAGTAAGACATGCATAATCTTGGTTATCAAGACAGGACGTACTGGGCACTTCGTCGTCCTCGTTCTGTGCCTGTTGGTTCGAGGCGGCAGCGACGGGAACGTTCGCCGTTAAGTTCGCCGCCGCCACGGACCTCTGGTTAACGAAGGTCGTCGAGTCGACCACGTAAGCACCGTGGCCGATCGAGGCCAATTCGATGGGGGCCGGCTGCTCCTGCTTGATCGCCACGATTCCGCCGCCGCTGAGCTGGGTCGCCTGGTTCGCGGCCCCGCTGGCCCTGCCGTTGGTCCCTGTGGCGACCGCCACCGAGGTCGACGCCGCCTGGTTACCCTCGCCTCCGCTGACTCCTACGCCGTTACCACCGCCGCCGCCTCCCGTCACCGTGCTCGTGCTCGTTGCGACCAGTGCTTTTCCTGATTGATTCGAGGTATAAGACGAACAAGAGGCACCAAGCACCCAGATATTAGGTTAGTCGATTGTACCAAGTGTTTTAAGATTTATGAATGGGATTGTTTGTTTCTTTTTTTTATATACGTGAACGTTAGTCAATATTATGAACGAATACAGTTCTCAGAGAAAGCTCATAGCAGATTAATTAATGACAGATGTTTGAAATGATAACACTGCGAGTAATGTTGATGAAAATTTGTGCAAATTATACATTTCTCGCACGCTTTTTTTCTCTTTTATTCTTGTGAATCGCACATTATTCGTGTGTGTATGTGTTTATATAATCTTTGTAAAGTTCGATCTACGATGAAAATCAAACTGTCAAGTATGTAGATAGGACGTTTGCATCAACTTTTCTGCAGATACGCTATGTATCGCTACATTAAATCGCTAATTTTAATATAAGCATTGAAAGAGAGTGAGACAGAGTTCAACGACTCAATAAATAAGCTGTCGTAGGTATGAATTGCGAGGAAATGAAAACTACTGATTATTTTTCATCAATATACCGCTCATATAAATATGTACATCTACTCTAGCAGTTATTTGTATGGGTATGTAAACGTGTATACGTAATTACGATTATCGACTGTGATATTTTCATGGATCCTCTTTTCTTTACGAAAAAATATAACGAATTGTCCAAAGTCAAGTGTCGCACACTTACCGTTGGTGGGGCTGACCACTGTCATGGTCGTACCATCGCCGACGACTCCGACATCGGCGATTCCCGGCCGAGGATCATAAGTCGTCGTGCTGTCGACAAAGTCTGTGTTCACTTCGTAATTCGCCATCGCCGCGTTGTAATAATTCGAGCCACTCGTGGGTGGACCCGGCGAGGTGTATGCACTGTTTCCGTAGTTGCCATACCTGTCAATGCAAGGCGAATTACGCCAATGATATCGTACGCTTACATTGGTAGCAACGTACCCTCCGTTGTAGTGATGCTGGTCGGAGCTGCTGGGAGTTTGGTGCTCGTACACGCTGCTGTCGGGGGCCGTTTCGTTTTGGGCTCTCATTTGGGCTTCCCTATGATATCGTACCTCGTCTTCGACTTTTTCCCGCTGTTTCTTCGACATTCGGCCAAATTTGACAGCTATAAGCATAACAATACATCATTCGAATCATCTTAATAAAAGATTTTTTTTTACAAGCCTTAAAATTATATTCATTTTCGTGAAATTTTATGACTTTTCATAAAAAAACACTTTTCAAAAGCATTTTTGGAGTTTTTCATTGATATGAATTTGGTGTTTAAAAAGGGGGTATATTCGATGAATTCTTAGAGACGGTCCGAATAATAATTAATCAGAGTATTTTGGATTCAGTAAATCAGTATAACTATTGGGATAAAAACTGACTGATAAATATGATAATTTAAATATACAAGTTTGACAACTAAGACGGTCTTATATTTACTTATATTCATTCACTTTAGATCCTAATAGCACATATTATTCAAATTTTGATGCATAAAAAAATTTTAAAAATGACGAATATTTTTTGAAAGTTTTTTTTTTCAAAATTCATACTATATGTACTACTCTAGCTATTAACATACTAAATCTAACATTTTTCGACACCATTATTTATAATTCAATAAAATCACAAAAACTATCGAAAATAGTTTTATTTTTTAATAAAAATTAACGATCCAAGGATCATAAGATTCCAAATGCGATAAGCAAAATGCCCTGAGCAGCACTTGGTAGCGCAGAATACTAGGGCCCGAACATAGCAAGGGTTCTGAGGACCCAGCCATAAAGTGCTTTCTATGACCAGAGCATAGAACGCGATTGTAACCACAGAAGAGTGTAATAAATGTGAACTTGAACCACGCAATGCCATAAAAATTTGTTTTGCTTAAACCTTTTCAACGCTATAAAGAAAAATAACTCTTGTACATTACATGGACATTGGACTTTTTTTTAACGAATGAAAAATTACTTTCAATCAGTGTTTTGTTTTTATTGCCAAATATATTTACAAATGTAAAGTATACTAGTCTTGAAAATTCCAAATGTAAAGTATACTAGTCTCGAAAACTCTCCTCATCCAATGAGCATATGTGTTTGAAAATGTATTTTTTAAACTGGACAAAGTAGAAAGCTCCCGCAATAATTAAAGATTCTCTACACGGGAACACATTTCGCACAGATTAGAAAACTGTAACAACAACAAGAACAGAATAAAAGAAAAAACGGTTGACGTAACGAACAAAGAACATTTAAAATAAAAGACATCCCAAACATTGTGACAGAGGAATGTCCTCGTCAATCGGCGCTCTTTATCCGCCATATGAGCGTACTAGGCGAACGCATGCGAGGATTATACGTACAAAAGAACGCGTAAAGTGAGAGAGAGAGAGAGAGAGAGAGAGAGAGAGAGAGAGAGAAAACTGCAGTAACAACAATAGATGCATCGAACAAAACACACACGTACAGCATGGACAGAGGTGTACGGGGGCGCTTGCACAAGTACACGTACAAAGACATGTAAATATAGACGTGGTGGAATAGGAAAGAAGAACGAGCGCAGCGCGCCATGCCATAGAAGCCGACGCATGCGCAGCGAAGAACGCGGAAGAGACGCGCCCGCGCTGCGCTCCACGAGCTTATGACGTCACACTACGTCACGATGCACCGCTAGCCCTTCGCGCACAGCATTCGAGTGCGAGAGAGAGAGAGAAAGAGAGAGAAAGAGGGAAAGAGGTAAAGAGAGAGAGTGGGAAATAAAGGACTATATACAGACGAGAAAGAGAGAGAGAAGCTCCCCGCGTTGACTGCTACTGCGGATATATATACGTGTATATAAAAGTATTGCAATCGGGCGCTCACCGCTACTGCTGCTGCTCTTTTTTGCCCTGTGCGCGCGTGACGTCAGGCGCAGCTGGCGCCCAACGTGATATCTCGTCTCTCGTACACAAATATGCGCTATATAGCGATCTACTTACTGTTCGATATGCATCCTCAAATTTATGTTCGCGAAAAACATCGATTTTTTTCAAATTCAGAATAAGACACCCGAGTGAAATTCGTACTAATTGAGAAAGCTTTTTATCCATTTATTACCTAAATTTGAAAAGCACACAGAGATTCGACGGAATCGTAAAAAATCTATAGATAAGCTTAGCTCTGTAATTACTATTATACGGCTACGTGATAATTATTGGAAGCGTAAGATGCTTTTGAACAAAGCGACACGGGAGGTAAATGTATAGAAGCGATCAGCTGATTTTACGTGCCAAGCAAGCGTGAAAGCTTATTAGAATTAAGCTAGCCAAAACAAGAAAAAAAGCGAGAATGTTTTTTCAACAAGCTCGCATCGTAAAAATACGCAATTTAATTCTTCGCGCGAGATCTGTCGCTGTTGTGTAATATAATCATCACGAGAGACGAATGAACTCTAGACGTGCTTTGTATATGAGATGCAAAATAGATATTCGCGCGTCTCGTCTTTGAAAAATGCTAGCCAGTCTGGCGCTCTATAGTCTTATTGGCTTTTCAAATTCCAAATTAACATTAATAAAACATCGGTCAAAGACGCACCGAGATATCGAGCTTTGTCACATTATACGTATGAGAGAGAGAGAGAAAGAGAGCAGAGCGAGGAACGAACGAAAAGATAAAAGGGAGAGGAAGGTGATCGACCGCAACATCATCAGCAGCAGCAGCAGCAGAAGCAGCGCGAGCGAGAAGACGAAGAGATGAAAACGAAGACGCAAGTAGGAAGAGAAACTAAGCAGCGAAGCTCCGGCGAGTAAAGCAGCGTCATGTGCTTTTCCGAGCTCTGTAATTCTATATATAGATCTTAACATGTAAGCGACTCCGTAGGTGTGTATGTGTGCGAGAGAGCTCGTACGTATATATCCATTTATGCTATTATATACATGTTATATTCGCACACGCGCGCTTGCGACGATATCGTACGCGGGCTCGGCCATATGAATTTCATCGAAATTCATGTGTTTACGGAATTAAATATTACATCGAATGCAGGTAAAAAAAATAAAGTTATTGCCAAGGAAATCAACTATGCATGAAGTTGGAAATGACGCGAAATTACGTATACGTTATACGAATGATATTACTAACATGTGTGCATGCACGTACAATTTAACGCTATATTAATACACGTCCGTGGCTACTTCTGTCTCTATGTGTGCCGCTGTGTTTGTGTATTATACGCGAGCAACGAGTGCATTTATTCTCAGGCAGGTAGTTCCGTTCTATACGTGCGCTCTGGTGTACATCATACATCGTGCGCGTCATGCAATGCGGATTTTAAGCCTCGCGGCCTTTATCGTGCACGCCTACACATACAAATACACAGGCGTATGTAAAAATCAAACGATTGATTTTGCTAATTTTTTGCTCGCACTCGTCTCGACTCACGCGTTTCTTTTTTCTTTTCTTTTTTTCTTTTTGGTTTTCCGTTCGTCGCTCGCTTGAAAAGTGTCATTCACCTGCGCGCGAGCTCTCGCTTACTCTCTATTTTTCTAAGACTTTAGCCAGTCTGCTCGTGTGTATGTGTTTGTGACGTGTTTTTTTACGATAAGGGCCGAAGAAAACGACGCGAGCACTCGCACGAGCGTCTTTCTCTCTCGGCTCGACTCGGCTCGGCTTGGCTTGGCTCGCGCGCGCGAGCGCCAAGCAAAACGAGCGAACGTTGTGATAAGGGGTCGTGTACCTCGTTTGGGTGTTGTATACACACATGTTATAATGCACGCGCGAGCCTACGTACGCGTATGCATGTGCATGCGCGGCTATGTGTGCGTGCTTGCACGAGGCGACTCGTATTTGCGCGATTAATTTCTTCTTTCTAATCAATCTTGGCTGCCCGAGCATTTGATGCCCGTGAGTTTGAATAGACATTGGAAAGTCGCGATTGTACATTGTGTGAAAAAAACATTACGTTCTACATCGTATGTATCTATGCTTTTGTTTTGTCCACTATTTTTTGAGTTAATGCAGCTTTAACATCAAATTAGATCAAATTAGACACACGATGAAAATTAATGTATCCATACCACTGATTTATTTTTTTACACAGACTTTACAACAGATGGATAAAAATGAAATCATGTAAATTATTTTCAAACTAAAATTAATGTTTTAATACTGATTTGTTTTCACTATGCTTATTCAAAAACTTTATCAAATTGAATTATGATTAGAATCAGCCTCTGCCGCTAGATGGCGAGTACCTGTATTTATAAACCTACAAGTGACAAAGTCGAAATAATTGTATAAGAAATATTTCTAAAAGGATACTTTCTAATCTTGTGTATTCGTGATCTAAATGAACAACTGCCCCATAAAACTAATAATAATTATTACAAAATAGAATTCACTCACCGTCTCTAGACATTCCCAATCGCATGCACTTTTGTAGCCGGCAGAATTGGCACCTGTTCCGGTTGACTCGATCGACGACGCAATTTTTGTTTCGCGGGCATTGGTAATTAATGACCGATGATTGCGAGCGTCTGAAGAAACCTTTGCAACCCTCACAAGTAATGACGCCATAATGCACGCCGCTACTCTTGTCACCACAAACTTTGCAGGGTATTATTTCTATCTGGGCTGTAAATTCGACAAAAAAATTTGATTAAAGATACATCAAATACACAACATTTTTTGTAATAGCTTTTAATTATGTTGAATCTTATATAGATAAAATTATAGATAAAACATAAAAGTACTATCTTTTTTTAATTATTTTAATAAATATTTCATAGTTTTTTTAATCATTAAGTATCTTTCAATGCAATTAAACTTTTTCATATCAACTGGGAGTAATCATTTGTGTTTTGAATAGTTTGTATAACGTCACTTTTGATAGTGTGATGATTCAATATTCGGACAAAGTACTCTTTTTTATCATGAAAATTATAATCAATAAGTATGTAATGGAAAAAACAATGTACATTCAATCGAAGTGAGAAGTATGTACACAAAAGTCTCTTTCCGTCGTTCATCGATAAATCACCTATAATCGACTTGTGAGCCCAGGTAATGACCACAAATAATCATTCGATTTATTAATTCATAATATTATGTTAAAAGCGCTAACAATTATCTGAACAGAAACACGTCAACATTATCTGAAGTGGGTAATTGAAAAATAACACGAATACTCAAAAAATGGAGCTTTTCCTTGGACGGGGTAGAGCGTTTAAAATAATCGTCTTGTTTGGAGTACCTCGTATCGAGTTGGCCTGTATCCTGCGATCCTCTTGCCGATACAAATCGACACTGGTGCGCTGATTGGCATCGATTCTCGCCGTGCTGTCGGCGTTCCATGGCGACGCGACAGCAGCATCGGCGACGATCGACGGAGGGCCAAAAGCTTCGCTGCCGCTGCTGCTGTTCGTCGTCGTCTCCATCGTTCTGCTGCTTAACCGACCCAACGCGAGCATACGGCATAATTCGGGATTGCTCGTAAATTACTCGTTTTGGCCACTCGATCTGTGCAGTTGTACTCTTATATTCGTTTTGTTTCTTTTCGTTCGTTCGCTCGACACTTTATTGCACTCGATAATTGTCAAATTTATACGGGTTCATTATGGGCTGGAAAAAAAAATCGTTGGATATACGTCTCATCGTGGCGTCTCTCGAAGTTTTATGAGCAGTAGTGCGCGCGGAGAAAGTATTTATCGAGTAATAATTTCACGTGATAAGAAAAAGTGTCAACGAAGTTATAGGCCCCGTCATTTGCAATATCTCTTATCGAGAATCTGTCTCTCTCGCTCTCTCTTTCTCTGTCGCTTTTTTCTCCGCTGCACGTACACGTCAAGCTTTTGATTCGTATTATTAATAAACTCGGTGAGCTTTTTCGGCAGATTAAAATTTTTCTTTATAATGAAGTGGCAATTAATCTTGGCACTTGGACGATACGAAAATAGTCGGTAAATAAGCGCGATTTTCAATTCTCTCGAAGTGGTTCCTTTATATCGCTCAATCTCTCCCTTCACTCTGTCGCTCTATCTCTCGCGTGGGGAGTCCCGAAAAAACGTCCAAAAAAGGACAGCTCTCGGAGGTGGAGTAGGGACAACGGGGGCAGGGTGAGGAGGGCAGGGGCAGAGGAGTGTGGGTAAGGGGGGGGGGGTCGTTGGAGCAGCGAGTCTGGTACTAATATGCTGCTGCTGGCATCAGCTTTTGCTGCAGAGAGCGCGAGTCAAACATTACGTAACCGCGAGCGATGAACCCGCGCGCTGCTGCCTCTACAAAAGAGCCAAGCGAGTATAAGCTGCACACATGTACACGGACGCACACAAACACACACACAACAGTCGGCCAACGCACTGACTCTCGGCTGAGCTCGTGCAGAAAGCGAGAGAGAGAAAGAGAGAGAAAGAGAGAACAGAGTGTCACGCTCATATGTGCAAGCAAAGAAAGAGAGAAAGATACGAATGTTTTGCGTGAGCAATAGGATGATATGTATTCAGCTGGGTGGGCCCGCGAAAAAATTTGTTTTCTTTTCAATCAAAGCGTAATAAATTCGAGGCGAAAAAAAATTGCAGCAGCAGCAGCAGCAATGGCAGTATAAAGAGGATTGAAAGAATCAAGAATATGTATGTATGTACATGCACGGCATGTGTCACGGCGTAGGCAATTTATGGCACGCGCTTGCAGCAGCACATACGGCTCGGCTCGGGCCCGTTAAACCATAAGTCGAATTTTTATGTGTGCATAAGCGCTTGCGAATGTTTACAGCCAAGGAGAACAAATATAGCTCGACACCAGAGCACAACCTCGCGACCAGAAGCTCGTCGAATTCGCGCTGCCACGGACACGCTAGTTAGCGAGCGCGATAACGCGACAAAAATTAATATGTAACTCTTTATTTTTATCGTTTATTCACACCACAAAGGTCTATCGAGGCGCTGTATACAGACACATTATGCACGATTCGCGCGAATAAAGAAAGCGAGGAGTGCGATTATTATTGAGCGTGCATCGCTTCGAGAGAGCGTCATCATCGGTCTGCGGAACGAGGGGGGAAATTAGTATCCGCTAAATAACAAGCGACCGCATATACGAACGAAAAGGAAATAGGCGCGAAAAAAAGCCGCCACCGCCACATCAGCAAAAAAAAACCGAATCGGACGAATGGTCATTTGGAGATTAGAAACTACTCTACATCGGACACATATAGGATCGAGCTTGGATGGCGCGTGGTGACGGGCTCTGTAAATATCGTATATCCTGGCACGATCACACATACACTGACTCACGTAAGCACGCACACGCGTATGCACACTCGCGCACACAACACACACAAGTACACAAGTACACAAGTACACGAGAGAGTCGGCAAATAATCGATCAAAACACTTTTTCTCGTCACGTCACAGACGCATAAACAAAAGCTTGGAAAAGCTCACGAAGCACGATCGCACGTAGAGCCGCGCACTGCAAACGCACACGCGAGCTACAGAAACGACGCACATAGACACATATAGTCTCACAGACACGTACACACACGTAGTTAAAGCGCGCATATAGACAAGCTCTAATCGCGAATTTTTGCAAAAGAGAAATAGACGAATAGACAGATAAAAGAACGAAGTCGAGCTAGCGAGCGAGCGAGAGAGAGAATTAGACGTAGTAAAAAAAGAGAAGTAAAAAAAAGCAACGAGTATAGCGAATATGCAACAACATGTGTATGCAAAAAGCCGCGTGCGCTCTGCTGTTGTCTATATATGCTGCGCTCTCTGCTCGTCGTCGTCGTCGTCGTCGTCGATGTTGCGCTCGCGCGCGCGCGATACGCGGCTCCTCGGCTGCAGGCACGGCACAGCTCGGGCTTCCGCGGGTCACTGAACTCTCGGCTCGGCTTGGCTCTCTCTCTCTGTAGTTCGCTCTCTCTTGTTCGCGCGGCGCTGCCTGCCTGCCTGCCTCATGCCGCTCGTGCACGAGTTCGGAGCGCCAAGCCACCGCTGCCGACTTCTCCCAACTCGATGCTGCTTATACTCCGCTCTTTTATCCCACTTCGCACTCGAGCGCAGAGCCTCATCGCGTATAAAGCTACCTCCGAGTCTTCGACTCGTGTCTGTGTATATACGCTGTAAAACTCGCGGAGAGGAGCCGCCACCTACGTCGACAAAAAATAAAGACCACGAGAGCGAGAGAGAGAGAGTTTTTCGGGGGACCTCGCGAAGGGGCAGAGTTTCGTTTTTTACTTTTTTGCATTTTTCGAAGGGGAGAGACACTGGCCAATGCAAGAGAGTGGGAGACCAATGACTCCTTTCTCGCTGCTGCTGCTGTTTTTTTTCCTTCGAGGGATATGTGTGTTGTAGTTCGATGCTCGCAACTCTGACTTATACAGTCGGACTTGGTAAAATTTTTATCCTATGCCTCCTTCGTGTAATACGATATCGATTGTCTTGCGGAAAGATACGAGAAGCATCGATCTTTGCCGCTCCTATTCGCACGAGAGATTTTTCAAAAATAAACCCAAGGCAGTAACATTTGAAACCATTCACCCAATGAAATGCACTTTTGCTGCCCGAAATGGCTCCTTCTTGCACTCAACGCCAGAAATTTATCCCTCGAATGTCAACAAATTTTAAATTTCATCAATTTACGCCCTTCTCTGAAAAATCACTTGAACAACAGAAGTCGTCGGTATGTTTATTCGTTTATATTTGAGAGTGTGTGTATGTGTGTGTGTGGCCTACGTGCATATATCTAGCGAAAAAATAAGTGCCTGACTTGGTATCAGGCTCATTTTTTTCCATTCGCGTCATGAGTTTATTTCAAGGCTCGATAAACTTATATTATATATTGGTAATTTTTTCGCTCCCGCTTGTATTAGATAAAAAAATGTTCTCTTGTAATACAATCGACGCGCGTCGCTTGCTCATAATTAATTTCATACGCTGCGTACGCAAATTGATAAAGAAAAATATTCATAACGATTTTCATCGTTGATTGATCCTGCAAAGAAGAAAAATGAAGAAAAAAACAAAATCTATATTCCAAGCGCATACCATGATTTTCGTCATCCAAAGGTTTAAGATGCGCACACTCGAAGCAGATATAAACATACCGATTGCATAACGTCGCGCAGTTGCCAAGCTACGCCTCTATAAATGTATCCATATTGTTAGCAATAAGATACACTTCGCGTGCTAAACTGTATATGCGTGTCTGCACGATGTGTGGCGTGCGTGTGTGTGTGCCGCGTGCGATGTGTGTGCGAGGGGAGGGGACGCTGAGCGCGTTGCGTGACTGTGGTGTGTGAGGCGTCGAGCGCAGACTCAGGAGAGTCACTTGATTTTGGGCCGTCTGCGGCGAGGGTCGTGTGACCGAGATTGTACTCCATTTTTTACCTTTTCAACTAATAATAATTATTTTTAATCTCTTTAACTTTGCCTTCTGACTCATTCTCATCCTGACCATAACAATATGTAATGCTTACATATATACGGAACATCATAATCTCATCGCTATGAAGAGTTTATGTATACGAATACCATGTGCAATTAGCCGCTCCGCTTAGCGCCATGTGAGCCTTTTATTTCGATATTTTTATTCGAAAAAAAAAAAACAGAAACGGCTACGAGAGAGATCGCGAGGAT